GGTTCCCACAGTCTTCAGCCCAGTAATTTGGTCCCTCAGGGACATTTCTGCAGTTTTGTTGTTTATCTTTTGGATTTCTAAATTACTATTTTTGTATGATTTCTAATTGTTTATTTATGTTGCCATTTTGTTCTTGTATTATTTTCCTGAAGCCTTCTATTGCTTTATCAGTGTTTTCCTTGATTTTGACTATGTTGAGGTTGGTTTTGTCTGTGTTTTCCCTGATTTTGTCTGTGTTTTCCTTCATCTCTTTTCTAAACTCTTAGAGATCCCTGAATATTAGACTTTTGCATTCCCTATCAGGTAGTTCCTGTGCTTCTTCTTCTGCCAGAAGGTCAACTGGTGCTTTCTTTTCGTCACTTACTGGAGCCATCTTGTCATGTTTATTTATTTATTTTTATTGTGCTTTAGATGAAGGTTTACAGAGCAAATTAGTTTCTCATTAAACAACACATGTATTGTTTTGAGACATTGATTGCCAACCCCACCATGTGTCAACACTCTCCCCTTTTCGACCTTGGGTTCCCCATTTCCATTTATCCAGCTTTTCTGTCCCCTCCTGCCTTCTCATCCTTTCCTTTAGGCTGGTGTGCCCATTTAGTCTTGTATACATGATTGAGCTACATGTATTATTGTTTGTTTTATGGGCCTGTCTAATCCTTGGCTGAAGGGTGAACTTCAGGAGTGACTTCGGTACTGAGTTAAAAGGGTTGTCCTTTTTAAAATATGTTTTGATATTGTCTCCTGCCTCTGAGACATTCTTGTATTATTTTCTTTATTTATTGATTGTAGGTTTGTTTGCTTTGTCCTGCTTTTTTGTTTTGTTTGGTTATGTCTGGGTGGGCAGGCTGGGCATACTTTGTTTCTTGCCCATCTGTGGGCATGATAGTTCTCACCACCTTGCCTGGGATGTGCAGGGCCAGTAGCTCAACTATGGCACAGCAGGGCTGGTCCAATGGGGGGCGGGGAGGGGTGGAGATGGGTCGTTTGTCTGTGGTATAAACTGGGCCTGGGAAGGGGGCTATAGTGGGACTTTTTCCCCTTAGGGCCATGCAGCATGGTGGGGCAGAGCTGAAGCCAGTGGTGATGGGGGGGTCTGGGGTCTGGGCCTGTTCCCCTCAGGGCCGTGGAGCATGGTGAGGCAGCCAGAGCCGGGGGGATGGGGTAACTGGGGTCCAGGCTGGTTCCCCTCGGGGCTGTGGAGTATGACAAGGTGGGATCGAGCTGGTGGTGGTGGGGGTCCGGGGTCCAGGCTGATTCCCCTCAGGGCTGCAGAGTGTGGCAAGGCAGGGCCTGAGCTGGCGGGGGGCTTCCAGGGTCTGGGCTGGTTCCCCTCAGAGCCATGAAGGGAGGCGAGGTGGGGCCTAAGATGGCATGGGGTGGGGGCTGAGGTCCAGGCCAGTTCTCCTCGGGGTCACAGAGTGCAATGAGGCACGGCCTGAGCTGGTGAGGGGGTGGCCTGAGACCCTAGCCAGTTCTCAGGGCTGTGGAGCTTGGTGAGGCGAGGCCTGAGCCAGCTGTGGCGGGAGTCTGAGGTCCAGCCAGCAGGGCAGAGGAGAGACGCAGGAGCCGGGGGCGGGGTGGGGGGCAAAGGCAGTGGCGGAGGGTGCTAGTTGGAGGAGGGCAATAGGGTGGGTTGGTACTGTGTTCCCTGGCAGTTGGGGCTGCCGGGATAGGGTAGTTCTCGCCACTATTCACCAGAGGGGCAGGGGTTGTAAGAGCATGCTCCTGTGTTTACCATGTGAGAGAGTCTGGGCACATCCTTGAGCTGCAGCCAGCAAATGTAGTCTTACTTAGCTCTGGGTGTGTCCGCACCATACTTCTGTCTCCTTTTGGGAATTCCATGAAGGTGCCTTTCTGCGTTCTTCTTGCAGGGTTGTTGGCTTTATTCCAAGATGGTCATGCTGTGTCATGCCATTTGGCCAGAAACCTCCACTCCATATCTCTACTCCTTCACCATTTTCTATCAGTTTCTTCTTCTCCTCAGTGGCTTCCAATCTAATACTGTATCTTTTCATTTAAGGTTCAGTGTTCCAGGATTGATGCCTGTATCTGTTTTACTTGGTTTTTCGGGTCTTTGTTGCAGCAGGATGGCTTAACGCGTCTGACTAGTCTGTCATCTTGGCTCCACCTCCTGTTGGAAGGTTTTTGATTACTGATTCATGCTCTTGTTATAGGTGTGCTGGGATTCTCTATATCTTCTCAAGTCAGTTCAGGTAATTTGTGTGTTGCTAGGAATTTGTCCATTTCATCTAAGTGATCTAATTTGTTGGCATACAATTATTCATAGTATTCTCTTATAATTCTTTTCATTTCTGTAAGATTGGTAGTAATGTGCCCTCTTTCATTTCTGATTTTAGTTATTTTCATCTTCTCTCTTTTCCTTGTCAGTCTATCTAAAGGGTTGCCAATTTTGTTGACCTTTTCAAAGAACCAGCTTTCAGTTTTGTCCCTTATATTGCTGTTCTATTTTCTATTTTGTTTGTCTCCACTTAGACTTCTAGACTTCGTTCATTATTGTGTTTATACTTAGTTTCGTTTTTGTCAGATTGTTGTTTTGTTATTCCAAGTTTTCGGAGTGTTGATCTTGTTATTACTTATGTCTGCTGACCTGTTAAATCTACTGACTCTTAGTTTTGATGTATCATTTTTGTGACTTTTTATTGTGATATTTATTATATCCTTCCTTCTGCTAACTTTAGGTTTAGTTTATTCTTCTTGTTCTAATTCTTCAAGTCGTAAAGTTAGCTTATTGATTTGAGATTTTTTCTTTTTTAATTCATATGTTTACAGCTATACATCCTGTAAGTTTTGGTATGTTGTATTTTTGTATTCATTTATCTCTGAGTATTTGTTAGTTTCTTTGCTAGTGATTTCTTCTTTGATCCATGGTTGTTTAAGAGTGTGTTATTTAATTTCCACATATTTGTTAGTTTTCCTTCTGTTATTGATTTCTAATTTTATTCCACTGTGGTCAGAGAAGATACTTTGTATGTTTTTAATCTTTTTAAATTTATCGAGACTTGTTTTGTGACCTAATGTTTGGTCTATCCTTGAGAATAGTCCATGTGCACTGGAGAAAAATGTGTATTTTGCTGTCCTTGGGTGGAGTGTTCTATTACTGTTCTATATTAGTCTGCTAGGTCTAGTTATTTACTTCTGGAATGCCTATAAATTTATATTAGACTTTTTTCTGTCCTCTGTGTCTCTCTTTAATATTTTCTATGTCTTTCTACCTTTCTGATACATTCTGGATAATTTTTTCAGGTCTATCTTCCAGTTTACTAATTGTCTTCTCAGCTGGGTTTAATATGCTAGTTAATTCATCCACTTAGTTTTAAATTTCAGTAGCCATATTTTTCATTTGTAGAAGTTATATCTGAATTTTTAAGAAATCTATTAGTATTTTATCTTAGTGTCTTTTTATATATGTTTTCTAGACTTTCTCTTTCATTATTGTGTGTATACTTACTTTCAGTTTTTATCAGATTGTTTTGTTATTCCAAGTTCTCGAAGTGTTAATCTTGTTATTTCTTATGTCTGCTGACCTGTTAAATCTGCTAACTCTAGTTTTGATGTATCATTTTTTGTGACTTTTTATTTTGGGCTAATTTTAACCACAGTTTGTTTTTTCTATGGGATTCCCATGGGTCCTAGGTTTGAGAGGGTCTTCCCAGCACAGTTGGGTGATTGATTTTGCCAAGTACCCCAGATTATCATTAACCTGAATTCATTTTTATATCTTGACCTGGGGTTTCCCACATCATGGGAGTGGTATAAATTTAGACTTCAAACCCTCAGGAGATGCAGACTGGGCTTTTGATTTCTCATAGGAGATTTTTTCCCATACTGCCTATCAGAATTAGGAAGACTTAGGTTTCCTAATTGTTTTCCTGGGTCATTGGATGTAGTATTTTAAACTCCCTTTCACTGAGATTGAAACCCTTTAAGAAATCCCAGTTTTATTTGGTATCTAAATTCTAACTCTTCCCTCTGCATGCACCCAAGTCCTCCTTTTTGACTCTGTATTAGCATTTAAATCAAGTACCTAACCATTTCTGGATCTGGTATCTACCCCCAAGACAGTTGAGGGTTGGTATTCACTACTTACTACTCTGGATGTCAACTCCCACTTAATTTGTTGTTATTTCTTTTTCATATGTTTCAATCATACAGTCATAGAATGTTATATTGCATACTGCATCTGTAGGGGTTTTCTGTTGGGATGGTGTCTGTGTTACCAAGTCTGCCATTTTATTATAACTGGAAGTCTCCTTAATGTAGTTATATCCTTAGATTTTCTGCTGTTGTCAGGTTATTGCACCTTACTTCGTGTGTGTGTGTGTGTGTGTATCCCAATAGGTAACATTGTCACTCTGGAGTTAGACTGCCTCCATTCAAAACCTGCTTCTAGCATTTCCTGGATTTGTGACCTGGACAAGCTATTTAATTTCTATTTGCATTCATCTTTTAAAAATAGGTATATTAAGGGTACTCATCTCATAGAAATATTGTGATGATTACATGAATTAATATACGTAAGGCACCACAGAGGAGCCCTGGTGGCACAATGGTTAAGTACTTGGTAGCTAACTGATAGGTTGGCAGTTCAAACCCGCCAGCAACTCTGCAGGAGTAAAGATCTGGTGATCTGCTCCTGTAAAGATTTACAGCCTAAGAAACCCAGTGGGGCAGTTCTACTCTGTCATACATGATCTCTGTGAGTATGAATCAACTCAACAGCACACAACAACAACAAAACACCATAAGAAGATGCCTACTAACAGTAAGAACTAAAAAAATGTTAACTATTAAATTAACTGTCCAGTGGGTGGTTCCTACAAGTATTAAAAGTTCTATTGAAATAGTTTCAATTGTTTGGGACAGAAAAATGAACTAGAATGGAGTTTTACCTAATTACTGTAAACCACAGCTTTTATTTTATGGGCCAATTCAAAATCAGGTTTTTAATGTAAGCATGTTTGATTTTGACCTTCCAGAAAATATGGAGGTGGATTTAAAAGAATTCTTAATGGAAGTGAAAGAAATTCCATGTTTCAAAAAGTCCATAGGTAAGTGATTACTTGTAGTTCAAAGAAAAATGACTAGAAAATAAAAATCATGAAATAATGTTTAAAAAAGCAATCACTATATGGATTTCAAGTTTTCAGTTGTAGTCTCTCTAGCTTCTAGTCTTTCAAGCAACTTATGAAATATAAATAATACAAAAATATAAAAAAATAAGTGAGGAAAATGGAACAAAGATGTAATGAGGGGAAGAGAAATAATGTAGGGTTAAAAAAAGATAATAGTAAGTACCCTTGCTGTTATTGCAGGTCCGTCATCGAGGATACTTAGGTTTTCCTTCAGGGACTTCTGGATCTGTGAACTAAATCAGATCTGGATAGTGAGTGAGGGGCCACCACTTTTTGTTGTCGCATCTCAAGTCAGGTCTCTGGAGTTTTCAGGTACACCCAACTGAACTCCCTATAGAAGCCCTGGTGGCACAGTGTTTAAGAGCCCAGCTGCTAACCAAAAGGTCGGCAGTTCAAAGCCACCATCCACTCCTTAGAAACCTTATGGGGCAGTTCTGCTCTGTCTGAGAATCGACTCGACGGCAACAGGTTTGGTTTTTGGAAGTCCCTGTAATTCATATCATTTATATTACCATGCTGTCTCTGTTGCCCAACGGTATCATTTTGCCCTTGCTTTAATGACTGCCCTTTGTCACCTAAGTTCCTCCCATTCTCCTTGAAATTAGGGAGACCGTTTCAACATCAACGTCTTTTCCTACCACCCAAGTCTTCAGAGAACACCTACCAAAGAACGCTTCACAGACACAGACAGAACTCTCAATGATGTATTTCTTAATGCTTGGTGAAACAAATGTATTTTTTCCCCACGTTTTCCACATTTTAATATTTCTGAAATGAAGATGTGTCTTACAATTGATAGTTTTTTAAAATCAGATATATTTTTTTTATAGAGATGAATGCACATATCATAAAATTCACCCTTGGAAAGTATAAAATCCAGTGGTCTTAGTAGAGTCACAAGTTGTGCAACTATCACTACTATCTAATTCCAGAACATTTTCATCACCCCAAAAAGAAACCCTGTAACCATTAGCAGTCATTCCTCATTCTGCTTTCCCCCAGCCACTGACAACTACTAATCTACTTTTTTTTTTTGTATGGATTTGCCTGTTTTGAACATTTCATATAAATAAAATCATACGATATGTCACCTTTTGTGCCTGGCTTCTTTCACTTAGCATAACGTGTTCAAAGCTCATCCATGGTGTATCATTTATCAATACTTCATTGCCCATTCCTCCCCCCGCCGTTTTTTTGAAGGCATGCTCAGCTTTATTCAAGGCTTTTGAAGAGTTTTATAATCAGGCTACTGCATTCCTTCTTGATAAAATCATCATAGTAAACTAAGGAAAATTATATAGTTAAACAGATACACATACTATGTAAGCTAGCAAAAAGTATAATATTAAAAATTTTTTTTAAATTTTTTATTTTCATAAAATATATATAAAATTTGCCATTTTAACAATTTTTAAGTGTACAATTCAGTGGAATTAATTACTTTTACAATGTTGTGCAACCATCACTATTTGTTTCCAAAACTTTTTCATCACCCTAAACAGAAACTTTGTGCCCATTAAGCACTGAATCCCCATCCTCCCTCCTAGCCCTGGTAACCAGTAATACTTTCTGTCTCTGTGCATTTGCCTATCCTAGATATTTCATATAAGTGGAATCATGCAATATTTGTACTTATATGTTTGACTTATTTCACTTAGCATGATGTTTTCAAGGTTCATCCATGTCATAGCATGTATTAGCATTTCAATTTTTTTATGACTAAGTAATATTTTACTATATGAATAATACCACATTTTGCTTATCTATTCACCAGTTGATGGACATTTGGATTGTTTCCACCTTTTGGCTTTTATTTTTAATTTCAGTAACCTCAGTTTTTTCATCTGAAAAAATGAGAATAATAATGCCTATTTTGTGATTATTACAAGGTGTACATGAGTAAAACAAAAGTGCTTAGAATAATATCTAGTGCTTAGTAAGTGCTCAGTGGCTGTTAGCTACTGTAATACATAATGGTTTCTAAACTATACTAATAGTTTCATCAGTCAGAACAAGGCCAGGGGCTGACTGAGAAACAGACCATCAGTTGCTTATATGCAAATTCAAGCTGAAGCTGAAGAAGATTAAAACATGTCCACAAGAGCCAAAGTGCAACCTTGAGTATATCCCACCTGAATTTAGAGGTCATCTCAAGAATTGATTTGATGCATCGAACACTAATGACCGAAAACCAGACAAGTCGTAGAATGACATCCAGGACATCATACAGGAAGAAAGCAAAAGGTCATTAAAAAGACAGGAAAGAAAGAAAAGATCAAAATGGATGTCAGAAGAGACTCTGAAACTTGCTCTTGAATGTAGAATAGCTAAAGTGAGTGGAAGAAATGATGAAATAAAAGAGCTAACCAGAAGATTTCAAAGCATGGCCAGAGAAGACAAAGTAAAGTATTATAATGAAATATGCAAAGACCTGGAGTTAGAAAACCAAAAGGGAAGAACACACTCAGCATTTCTCAAGCTGAAAGAATGGAAGAAAAAAGTTGTGATTTTTAAGATTTCAATGGACAAAATATTGAATGACACAGGAAGCATCAAAAGGAGATGGAAGGAATACACAGAGTCACTGTACCAAAAAAATTGATTGACATTCAACCATTTCAGGGCATAGTATCTGAAAAAGAACCAATAGTATTGAAGGAAGAAGTCTAAGCTGCACTGAAGGCATTGGCAAAAAACAAGGCTCCAGGAATTGACTGAATACCAGTTGAGATGTTTCAACAAACAGATGCAATGCTGGGAAGTTCTCACTCATCTATGCCAAGAAATATGGAAGTTAGTTACCTGGCCAATCAACTGGAAGAGATCCATATTTGTGCCCATTCCAAAAATAGGTGATCCAACTGAATGCAGAAATGATCGAACAATATCATTGATATCACATGGAAGTAAAATTTTGCTGAAGATCATTCAGAAATGGTTGTAGCAGTACATCAACAGGAAACTGCCAGAAATTCAAGCCAGATTCAGAAGAGGGCATGGAACAAGGGATACCATTGCTGATGTCAGATGGATCTTGGTTGAAAGCAGAGAATACCAGAAAGATGTTTACCTGTGTTTTATTGACTGACTATGCAAAGGCTTTTGACTATGTAGATCATAACAAATTATGGATAACATTGCAAATAATTGGGACTCCAGAACACTTAACTGTGCTCCTGCAGAACCTGTAGATAGACCAAGAGGCAGTTGTTCGAACAGAACAAGGTTAAAAATCAGGAAAGGTGTGCATCAGGGTTGTATCCTTTCACCATACTTATTCAATCTGTATGCTGAGCAAATAATCCAAGAAGCTGGATTATATGAAGAAGGACTTGGCGTCAGGATTGATGGAAGACTCATTAAGAACTTGTGATATGCACAGATGACACAACCTTGCTTACTGAAAGCGAAGAGGACTTAAAGCACTTACTGATGAAGGTCGAAGACCACAGCCTTCAGTATGGATTACACCTCAACATAAAGGAAACAAAAATCCTCACAGCTGGACCAATAAGCAACATCATGATAAATGAATAAAATGTTGAAGTTGTCAAGGATTTCATTTTACTTGGATCTATAATAAACTCCTGTGGAAGCAGCAGTCAGGAAATCAAACGATGTATTGCATTAGGCAAATCTGCTGCAAAAGACCTCTTAAAATTGTTAAAAAGCAGAGATGTCGCTTTGAGAACCAAGGTGCGCCTGACCCATGTCGTGGTATTTTCAGTCACCATATGCATGTGAAAGCTGGACAATGAATAAGGAAGATCGAAGAAGAATCCATGCCTTTGAATTATGATGTTGGCGAAGAATATTGAGTATACCATGGACTGTCTAAAGAAGGAACAAATCTGTCTTGGAAGAAGTATAGCCTAGAATGCTCCTTAGAAGCAAGAATGATGAGACTTCGTCTCAAGTACTTGTTATCAGGAGGGTCCAGTCCTTGTAGAAGGCCATCATGCTTGGTAAAGTGGAGGGTCAGCGAAAAAGAGGAAGACCCTCAATGAGATGGACAGACACAGTGGCTGCAACAATGAGCTCAAACATAGCAATGATTTTTAATGATGGTGCAGGACTGGGCAGTGTTTTATTCTGTTGTACATAGGCTCACTATGAGTTGGAACCGACTTGATGGCATCTAACTACAACAACAATAGTTTCATGTAAAATTCTGTTATTTTATGCAACACAAGCCTATCCATTGATAGCAAATAATATACTCTAGTTGTGCTGTTGAAACATTTGTTTTTCCTCTGTTTTTACAGCTACACAGCTACTCTTAGCTACTTCCCAAATTCTTCAAAATGATCTAATTGATGTCTCTGACCTCAAGACATCATTGATGAACAATGAGCTTTATGGAGCTAATGCCATACTTGATGAAGTGTTAAGACATAAGCCTGAACATGGTAAGTAGTTTCAAGGCATCTCTCTTATAAATACCATCCTCTCTTGGTGGGGGAAGGAGGCATATGGATAGGATACACAGGGATGGAAGGTACCCTGTGGGAGCAGCTGTGGGATGACTGGTGGGCACCAGGGTTGCCTCCCTAGAGTGCCAACCCGGAGCCTCATGGAGCCAAACAGAGGGGAAAGTCAGGGCTCAGTCTTTGGCCCAGCTCGTTGTTGGGGCTAGCTTACTTTCCCTGAGGAAGGAGTGCATAAATGTATGTTTCTTCTACTGCAACTGTAAGGCCCCAAAAGGGGTAAAAAGTACCACCCTCTCAGCCCATTTTAAGGCGGGCTTCCTGAGACCTCATTTCTTGTCCATCTTTAGCTTCCTAGTATAGATATCAGTGGATATTTTCATTCCCTTCAGAGGAATCCCCATCTGCTACCTCTTTGTACCTCTTTGAATGCCCTTGCTTTATGACTTTCAATAGGGCAATAATATCAACCCACAACAGTAGATATATCAATATATTTCCCAAAGTCTGAATTATTCAGTCTTGAATAGTACCATATGTAGGACATCTACAATCCAGTATGTGTTGAGCTAAATTAAGCCAAGGTTAATTCCTTTTCATGGTGTTTAAGATATATAGGCCTGTACATCTCTCTAGTGATCTTAGTCATTTCAGCCCTTTATCTTATTAAAGAATAGTAGTCCAAATCTATGTTTGGTAAATAGACATTTTTCTAGCAGTATTTTTTGTATAAGGCACTTTTGGAATTTTTGAGAGGACAATTCTTTGTTGTGTGGAACTCTCCCATACTTTGCAGGGTGTTTACTATCTCTAGTCCATTCCCAATAAATAGGATTAGTGCTTCTTAGTTATTATGATTAGAAACTCCTCCCATACAGTTTAAAATACCCCTGGAGGTGGGGGCAGTAATACTTCTGGTTTGGAACTACTTCATGGAAATAGTCTGCAGAGATGCAACCCTGCTTATTTCATAAATTTCTTCTCCCATTATCATAAAGCTGAATATAAAAAACTATACTCCATAAGAATCTCCATTTAAGAAGAGGGTTACTACTTTACATTTATGTAATCTAAAGCCACATTTGAATGATTTTTTTTTTGTTATAATGAAACAGTTGTCTGCCTCCAAATATGAATTCAGATTTCTGCATTTTGGAATGCAGAAATCTCAACTAAATTTTTTTTATATCTTTAAAAATGGCAGTTGTACCAGGTTTTAGGCTGAAAGGATGAAAAAGTTCTTATTTATTTTAGCCATAATATCCCATCACACAAAGATGAGTAGATCCTGTTTTCAAGGGACTGCTAATTTGATAGAAGAGCACAGTAATGATGTGATCACTAAAGAGTGGTACTGTGATTGTACAGAGTAGCTAGTAAGTCACACTCCCTGGCAGGTAGGTAGTAGTCAAGGGATCTTTACAGAGATGATAACTGAACTGGATCTTGAAGGATGAATTAAGAATTTTCCCAGGCAGAATAGGAGAAAAGTGATTCTAGGCAGTGGAAACAGCATGTGAAATATGTAAGTTGTTACATATTGCTGGAGGGCAGAATGCATTTGGGGAAGTAGCTGGAAAGGTGAACAAGGACAAGATCATTAAGGATGATTAAGCTGTGATATGATGTTTGTCTTTTATTCTGTAGGCACATGAGAGCTACTAAAGGGTTTTATTCTATTCACAAATGACTGGATTGTCTATATAGAAAAGCCCAACGAGTCTACAAAAAAGCTACTAGAGCTAATTAGCAGTTTTATCAATGTTACAGGATACAAGGTCAATATAAATCAATTGTACTTTTACATACCAACAATGAACAATTGGAAATTACAAATTTAGTTAAGAAGTACCTTATCGATGCCCTTTATCACCACTCTCATTCAACATTGTGCTGGAGGTCCTAGCCAGAGCAATTAGACTAGAAAAAGAAATAAAGGGCATCCAAATTGGTAGGGAAGAAGTCAAAGTATCTCTATTTGCAGACGATACGATCTTATACACAGAAAACCCCAAACAATCCACAAGAAAACTACTGGAACTAATAGAAAATTTCAGCAAAGTTTCAGGATACAAGATAAACATACAAAAATCAATTGGATTCCTCTACACCAACAAAGAGAACTTCGAAGAGGAAATCACCAAATCAATAACATTTACAATAGCCCCCAAGAAGATAAAATACTTAGGAATAAATCTAACCAGAGACATAAAAGACCTATACAATGAAAACTACAAGACAGTACTGCAAGAAACCAAAGGAGACCTGCATAAGTGGAAAAACATACCTTGCTCATGGGTAGGAAGACTCAACATTGTGAAAATGTCTATTCTATCCAAAGCGATCTACAGATACAATGCAATCCCAATCCAAATTCCAATGGCATTTTTTAATGAGTTGGAGAAACAAATCACCAACTTCATATGGAAAGGGAAGAGGCCCCAGATAAGTAAAGCATTACTGAAGAAGAAGAACAAAGTGAGAGGTCTCACACTACATGATTTTAGAACCTATTATACCACCATGGTAGTCAAAACAGCCTGGTACTGGTACAACAACAGATACGTAGACCAATGGAACAGAATTGAGAATCTAGACGTAAATTCATCCACCTATGAGCAGCTGATATTTGACAAAGGCCCAAAGTCCATTAATTGGGGAAAAGACAGTCTCTTTAACACATGGTGCTGGCACAACTGGATATCCATCTGCAAAAAACTGAAACAAGACCCATACCTCACACCATGCACAAAAACTAACTCAAAATGGATCAAAGACCAATATAAAATCTAAAATGATAAAGATCATGGAAGAAAAAACAGGGGCAATGCTAGGAGCCCAAATACATGGCATAAACAGAATATGAACCATAAGTAACAATGAACAAACACCAGAAGAGAAACCAGATAACTGGGAGCTCCTAAAAATCAAATACTTATGCTTATCAAAAGACTTCACCAAAAGAGTAAAAAGACAGCCTACAGACTGGGAAAAAAATTTTGGCTATGACAACTCCAATCAGCGTCTAATCTCTAAAATCTACAAGATACTGCAAAACCTCAACAACAAAAAGACAAATAACGCAATTAAAAAATGGGCAAAGGATATGAACAGACACTTCGCCAAAGGAGACATTCAGGCGGCTAACAGACACATGAGGAAATGCTCACGATCATTGGCCATTAGAGAAATGTAGATCAAAACTACAATGAGATACCATCTCATCCCAACAAGGCTAGCATTAATCCAAAAAACACAAAACAATAAATGTTGGAGAGATTATGAAGAGACTGGAACACTTATACACTGTTCGTGGGAATGTAAAATGGTACAACCGCTTTGGAAATCGATTTGGTGCTTCTTTAAAAGCTAGAAATAGAAGTACCATAAGATCCAGCTATCTCACTCCTTGGAATATATCCTAGAGAAATAAGAGCTGTCACATGAATAGATATATGCACACCCATGTTCATTGCAGCACTGTTCACGATAGCGAAAGGATGGAAGCAACCTAGGTGCCCATCAGTGGACAAATGGATAAACAAATTATGGTATATTCACACAGTGGAATACTATGCAACGATAAACAACAACGATGAAACCGTGAAACATAATATGGAGGAATATGGAAGGTGTTATGCTGAGTGTAATTAGTCAGTCACAAAAGGACAAATATTGTATAAGACCACTACTATAAGAACTCAAGAAAAGGTTTAAACAGAGAAGAAAACATTCTTTGATGGTTATGAGGGTGGAGAGGGAAGGAGAGGGTTATTCACTAACTAGATAGTAGACAAGAATTATCTTAGGTGAAGGGA